TGGAGTATTACCACACACATTGCTAAGTACTCCCCATTCTTAAACTTATCATACACTTGGTTTTAGATACTAAAATATAAGAAATTGACTTAAAGCTACAAAATGAGTTAAAGTCTTTCTTTACCAACACCCAATCTCTTTTTTTTTTTTCCCCAGGTTATTAGAACCGTGCAGCAAAAATGGCTACTGATCCTCCTGGTGTTTGCAGTTTGGATCCAGTAGTCCTCTTACAAATGACAGTAAGTTCCAAACATATTTTAATTAATACCAGCTTCTAATATGACTAGTGGATAACCTGTAGCCCTCCAGATATTTCTGAAGAATGCTCAACAATGCCAACCAACATTATTAGTTGTGAAAGAGGCTTGGATTGGAGACATTCTTCTGCCACATCTAGAGATCTCCTGGTTGCCCTTCCTATAATATGAAATTCTCTATTATTGAATTACTTTATAGGTAATTATTTAACCAATTGACAGACAGTGATAAATGCTATAATCTATTGTACTGGCAAGACCTATTCTTCAGACTAGTTATTATGCAGTATTTTCATCTTTTAACCTTTCCTCTTGGGCAATATTGCTGAAATATTACAATTGCAAATATCTCAACTCTTTGAGCAATAAAAACAATTCTTAATGTTAAATGAGTCAGTTGTTACACAGAAGGATTTATGTTTTGAGCAATGCTAGGAGGAACAATCAGTATGCATATTCAGTAGATTCTGAAAAGTTACCTACATACTGTTTGTCCCCTGAATTTTCTTCTACCGCTACATTGAACTACCTTTGGAAACTGTGCTCATAAGATATATGCATGAATAGGCTTTTGATTTTTGGCTGCCATTCAAAAAACCAGGGCTAGATTATTTTTTCCTGTAATATATTTTTATCCTACACTCCATTCCCATTTCATTTTCAAAACCATTTTTGAGTTACTTTGGATGTTAGATACTAGCCAGAATCAGCCACTGAGTTCATGGTTAGGTGGCAACATTTACACAAGTATTCCTAGTGGAACAAATATAATACACTTGTCCGGAATCAAATATTCAAAAATAATGAAAATGAATTCTATATTCATATAGTGAATGTTCTGTTTAATTCTCTTCTGTACATTTCTGCTTCCAATCTCATTTACGTCACCATTAATCATACTCAAAGACTTCCAGTTAAAAGAAACAAGCTAATGATGCAAATACTGTTCCTATATTCAGAACAACAAACTTTGTTCTATTTTAATGTCATCGTTTTTGTTATGATGCTGTTTGAAAGGTTAATCATAAAATGTTTAATACATAATAAAAATTGTATTCAAATATTCGCTTACATCAAATAAAACTTTCTCTTAATTTTAAAAAATTTTTTGAGTCCTTGGTGCTCCCTGAGCTCGATTGTTTGCTTGCAGATGTTTCACAATCCAACTAGGTAACATTATCATTGCCCTGATGCTGTTGCCCTGATCTATCATCATCAGTGCCCTGATGTATGCCCTGATGATGTTACCTAGTTAGATTTTGAAATGTCTGCAAACCAAGCTCAGAGAGCTCCAAGGACTCCACAGTTCAACCCTGAGCTACATATGTTCTCTTCTATTAAAGTTCTTTTCCAGGAATAGGGACATGATGGCTTTCTGGATGTTAGATTCCATTCTCAGCAGCTGTAGCCAGAATTACTCATACAGTAGGTAGAGATACTGAGTATTCCTGCCCTAGTAAGTTTTACTCTAGATACCTTTGGAATAATTATCCTTAATAGTCAGGAACACAATTCCCTTGGAAAAATGACATAATCCTGTTCTGGACCCGAATAAAATCCATTTGTTTTCTAGGAGGATTAAGGTGGAAAATAGCTCTGTAAAATATAACTTTAAATGAAAACATTTTAATGTCATCTGAGCAATAGACACAGGGACAATCAGATTATAAGCTTGCTTTGATAATAACCTTGACCTTAAAGATACAAGCAGCAGTAATAAAGTAATTCATTTGTTGACATGATAGTGGAAAGATCCAGCTGCTAGGCTATAGAATTTGTTAGGATTGTGCAGCAGTTTGGAGTCAATCCAGATAGGTGCTTGGAATACACAAGAATGCAAATATAGCACCTGTCTGCAACTTTTTTAAAGTAGCTAGTTTTTTTCTCCAGGATCAGGTGACAGTCCTCCACAAAAAGACATAACTGCTTTAAAGACTGCAGACAGGTACTATGTTCAAAATAGCACAGTCTGAAGCACCTTTTTAGAATTGAATCTAAAGCACTGCACAGCCCGAAAATCTAGTATAGGTAGTCCCCAGTTTAAGAATGAGTTCTGTTCCCAAGGTCTGTCCTTAAGTCGAATTTGTAAGCCAGAACAGTATTGTTGTATTGTGTAATTAACTCGAACATTTGTGTATTTAACTCAAATTGTGCTACAATAGGCTCCGTTCTTAACTATGGATCATCCTTAAACCGGCCATTCTTAACCCAGGGACTACCTGTACAATCTAACAAATTATACTATGGGCCATCAACATCTGAAGGATAAAATATACCACAATATATGAGACTTAGGTCCAATTGGTGCATGAATATGTTTCTATAGCTTAGATTCTACTTTCTTTGTATTTTATGAGTTCCACCTAGACGTATAGGTTAGCATCAAGGCAACTATTTGTCGCCACCATTTCTAAGCATTAATTGATAGAGCTTGTAGGGACATGGCCAAGCCTATAGGGTGAAAGGTTGGAGGTCTTAACCCTCCCTTCCTAGAGGCCTCCTAGGTTTCACCTCCTGCCTTGGTATTGTGGCTTAGTAATTATTGCTGCCACCACCTATCTTCTAGGGACTGATTCACTTGGCATCTTCTCGCTAACCCAGCATGTGAGAGGGATAGGCCTCCTACAAACTATGTTGCTTTTCAGGCACATTAAAAGGAAATAAATGAGAAATAAGTGAAATAAATTATATATAACCACCTCCTGTCCCAGCAGCACTGAGGCATGTGGCTAAGGGAATCACCTAACATGCACAGCCCTACTAACTGACATGAAATATTATCCATTGTGTTTATCATATAAGTACATCTTTCTTTAAAAAATCTGTTGCCAGACTAGGTAGAAGGGAAGGTTCATGGGAGACAAGCTATATGTCAGCTATTTGGGTTTGGTGTGCTTTGGAGGTTGTACACCTGCAGTTTCTGTGATAAAAAAATATTCACAACACACAGTGAGCAGCAAAGTAGCCCTTTTAAGACTCCAGCCACGTGCAAATCACCCTAGATAACAAATTACTTTTCATTTTCACTTAATAATGCTTATTGAATCTTTGGTGAAAGATAAAAATGGATGGATGGATGGATGGATGGATGGATGGATGGATGGATGGATGAAATTAACCTAGGAATATTACTATCTCACTCCTCAAACCATCAAAGGAAACCCAACATTTTTGAGAAAACATTTTATTTACTTAGCATTCAAGTACAAAGAACATTGTGAAGATGTAGCACAAGTACATTCAAAGTATTTTATTCTAATGACACATTTGGCGGGTTGTGAAACAAGCTTCACTTTTGTGAGACTTGGCTCAACGTTTGTAACTTCTTGCAGCCCAACCCTGAAAAAAAGAATTTTTGAAAAGCATAATCAAACTTTATCTGATTCATAATTGAATTAGAATTGGAATTAAAGAACTAAGTAATTTTATTTTAAAAGGGAGTAAGAATTTAATAGCACAATACAGAAGTATGAGAGAGAGAGAGAGAGAGAGAGAGAGATCCCCCCTCACCCCTATGAGTGGTATGTGTCTTCCTCAATTTTGGGTCCTCTACCAGAGGCCTGGGAATTTGAGGATTTTGTGCAGTATTTTAGCTGTTCCTAGCACTGCAGTCTTCTGGACAGAGACCTCTGATGTTGTTCCTGGGATCTGTTGGAGTCACTTCTCCCAGCTTAGGAGTCATAGCCCTGAGTGCTCCTACCACCACTGGGACCACTTTGGCCTTTACTTTCCACATCCTCTCTAGTTCCTCTTTCAAGTCCTGGTACTTCTCCAGCTTATCATGCTCCTTCTTCCTTATGTTGCTTTCACTTGGCACCACTATTTCTATCACGATCGCTGGCTTCTGTTTCTTGTCTACTACCATGATGTAGGAGTCATAGCCCTGAGTGCTCCTACCACCACTGGGACCACTTTGGCCTTTACTTTCCACATCCTCTCTAGTTCCTCTTTCAAGTCCTGGTACTTCTCCAGCTTATCATGCTCCTTCTTCCTTATGTTGCTTTCACTTGGCACCACTATTTCTATCACGATCGCTGGCTTCTGGTTCTTGTCTACTACCATGATGTCTGGTTGACTGGCTAGTACCTGCCAGTCCATCTGGATCTGGAAGTCCCACAGAATCTTAGTCTTGTTATTCCCCACAACCTTCTGTGGAATCTCCCATCTGGACTGGGGAGGGACTAGTCCATACACTGTGCAGGTGTTCCTATACACAATGCCAGCTACTTGATTGTGCCATTAGGTGTATGCTGTCCCTGCCTGCATCTTACCCCCTGCCACTATGTGTTGGACTGCCTCTGAGGCCTCTCTGCGCAGTCAGCACCTTGGGTCCTGTCTAGTGTGGTAGATCCCTGCTTCTATGGATCTGGTGCTTAGTGCCTGTTCTTGTGCTGCTATGAGCAATGCCTCAGTGCTGTCTTTTAGTCCAGCCACTGGTAGGATTTCCCAATGTCAGCCACCTCAGCTGTCTGTGGATGGTACATCTCATGCAGGGGCTTGTCTTGCCATGGCACTTTCTCTGTTTGAACCTTCTCCAATGTCTGTTGCTGCCTCAGGCATTCTCTCAGCAGTTCATCTTTGGGTGCCATCTTACTGATGTATTCCTGGATGCTCTGGGTTTCGTCCAAGACAGTGGCTTTGACACTCACCAGACCCCGCCTGCCCTCTTTTTGGCTAGTATACAGTCTCTGGGTGTTGGACTTCGGGTGGGAACCTCCATACATTGTGAGGAGCTTCCAGGTCTTCACATCAGCAGCCTCCATGTCCTCCTTTGGCCAGCTCATTATACCAGCAGGGTATCTGATGACTGGCAGGGTATACCTGTTGATGGCATGGTCCTTCCCATTGAGCTGGCTCTTCAGGACCTGTCTATCCTTTGGTGTTACACAGATGTTGTTATCTTCCTTGCCTCCTCATCATGGTTCCCATGTGACTGTGGGATACCAAGGTACTTGTAGGTGGTCTTTATGTCTGTTATGTGGCCTGCAAATTAGGTTTAAAAAGTATCTATCCCTATTTCAGATACTGTGAGATTATAAAAGGCACATTGTTCCATTACATAAGACGTTCCAACTATAGTAACTTCAACTGATAAAATTCACACAAAAACTGTATTTATATAGGACAATCCACTGGAACTCTGAGCATTATTTCTATGTTCTCCTGGCAGATGCAATGGTTCCATGTGATGTAGGAACTGGTCCATAGAGTTTGAAGTAGTAAGTCAAAGAGGTTTTTTTGGTTTGGTTTGGTTTGATTTTTGGTACCTTCGAGACAGTCTTTGCTCCTGGCAATTGCCTGGACAAATCCATGCAGTTTTCATGGCAAGTTTTTTTAAAGTAGTTTGCCATTGCCATCTTTCTAGGGCTGAGAGATGTAACTGGCCCAAAGTCACCCAGCTGGCTTTATGAGTTACAGTACAGAATTCTGTTCTCTTCTGTGATGTCAGAAATAGGTTAAATTCAGTTTTGTGCAATTAGACTAATAGCCCCACAATCCAAATTTAAAATAGTGAAAAAAAGTACACTTCATTTTATGCAGCTGGTTGGTCAGTGTGTGTGTGTGTGTATTTAAGTCTGAAGCAACTGAATAATATCATTTAGGCTTTTTATAAACTAAGAACTATTAGTCTCTTCAACCTTGGATAGAACAGATGTATCTGGTCCCAAAGTTTAAAGAACCTCAGAAGATAAACACTCCAATGAAAACTAAGGAGTTAGGAATGTGTCCTATTAATCTTATTTTCTCTCACAGTAGTAGTAACAGTAATAGTAGTATTGGCATGTTAGCAATTCCTCAGTAACCCAAGATTTACAAAAATTAAAAGCTAAAGCTTAAAAATATTTTCATTGATTTTATAACATCAGCATATTAATATTTACAAATTACTTTTTTAAAAGGCAATATTTAAGTTAAAATCATCGGAATCACCTTTTGATTTCTTAGGAACTTCTCATCCGTAAGATTCATCCACCCATTAATTCATTCAAATCAGGAGCTTTACTCAACTCTCATCTGCACAAGAGGAGTTTGCAATGGAACACATCATACAGTACCTCATTTAGTTACATCTCTTTTAACTTTCACATTCAGTGTATCAGCAATCCCTATAAATATCCCCAAAATGTAAAATTTTAAAAAAGACATTTAAAAAAATATCAGTTTGCTGAGAGTTTATAATAGGCATCAGCAAAGTGTTATTCAAGGATGTTGTGCGCTGAAAATTTACTATTTTGTCTTTCTACGTTCCTCAGTACAGATTAATAGAATGGCCATTAACATCTTCACACCAAAAATGCATGTTGGTCTCGAATATATCACCAGGAATAATACAAAATTAGTTTAAAATTAAAAGATACATCTTTCACATTTTCTTCATTTGATCTACAGCACTGAGAAATGTCAAAACTGATTTAAGAATCACACATGAAAATTGCCTAGGTTCTAGGACTTTTATCCATAATGCTTCAATCCATCAGATACTGGCGGGTTCATATACTGCATTAAGCCATAATGTAGTCTTGACTTAAAATGTAGTAGAAATCATGGTGTACTATTTCATATGTTGCTTAAACCCACCCAACTGTAGTTTATTCACTAAACTGTGATTAAACAAGCCATGATTTGGCATGCATAAACTAGTAAGTGTTAAGAATTTCTCTAACACTGGTAATAACTTACCAATTTTAAAATATTAAAATTACTTTTAGTAGCTTTCACCAACCTGGTAACCTCCAAAGTTCTTTGGACCTTCACAAATCCCAGCCAGAATGGGAAGAATGACTTACAGCTTCTAATTACAGATTCCGCTATCTCAATCCAGCCCTTCCCAAATATTCTTTACTATAAAGGACTGAAGTGTTAATTTATTAAATTCATACTTCTGCAACTGTTGATCAATGAACTCTATGAATGAAGTTTTCCTCCTCCTCCATACCATCCTAACCGTAGTTAGTTTAGGGAAAGAGATGTTTGAATAATGAAAATTCAGCAGTAATTTTTTTAGTGAAAATATATAGAAGATTCAGTATATTTTCATCAGCTCCATAAAATGTCTCACAATCAGAAATACAATTAGTTTTCATGGGAAACAGATTCATCATGACCTTTCAAACTATTGCTTCTGTTAATGTGGAACAGTAAATGTACAAAGTGTATGGATTCTGTTCTGCAAAGATTTCAAGTGAGTATTTTAAATTAAATGCAATATCAGCCTAAAAGCTTTGTACAGATACAGTCCTAAACCGATATAATTTTTCCAGGTTTGTAAATATTTAAATACTTCTTTTTAGAATACATAGCTTATACTCCATGCCATGTGTATGGCTATACATGTTATGTCCCCACACAGCTGTCACAGTGCTCTAATACAATGAATGCCTCTCATTAAAATCGCCCTTGCAAAGCATCACCTATGGCTCCCCATACATCAAAGACAAATTCATCTGGAAATGCAAAATCTCCTAAAGCTTCATCAAGAGCTACTGCAAATTCATCTGGATTGTTCTTGCCTTTTCCAGCTTCTACCATAGTTGCAGCTAAAAACAAGAGAGGGAAAGAGGGGAAAAAAAGAGTTATCTAGCATTTTTGCAGGGGCATCAATATGAATCATAGTACTGTAGTTGTATTTGGTCTGAGAACAAACTTGGAATAATTGCATTTCATTAAAAATGTAAATTAAAAAGCAAAACATCTGTAAACTTCCCTAATTAATTAGAAAATGAAGGTTTAATAAAAAAAAAATCTGTAGAATGTTTTTAAGACCAGGCCAACTAATTCTCTGCAGAGTTCTTACTTTATTAAGGATTAAAGATACAACCTCACTTAGGAGAAATATCACCATCAACTTTGGGTGAAAGGGTAACAGAACCTTCTCTTTTCCTTGAAAACACAAGAATGAATTTGTTTTCTGGTAGAGGTCTATCATCTGCCATACAGAAAAGACTATCAGAGTAGAACTAAAGTTGTGTGAGTGGCACTTGACAATGCCTTATGTTTGGTTCTTCAAGAACCAAATTCAAATCCTCCCTCAATCATGGCTTCAATATCAGGAACCAATATTTCTCAGTGTCATCTAAATCACAAGATTATCTTTATAATAAAAGACATGTACAGCAGGAACAGCAATATTTAAGGATTTTTCTTCCTTTTGTAGTCCCACAGTACCCATAAGGCATCTTTCTGGAGAATTTCGGCCTACCTGGAACCTTTTCAGGATGACTATTTGGTCTTTGCATGTTATAATGGTGTCAAATTCCAAAAAGTGTGTGGGGACAGCACAGAGCCTACCATTGTTTTAATGTAATTTAAATTTAAGAAATGTAACATGGTATATTTGATAATGCAGTATCACTTAAGAGCTTAGAATCAAATGTATTTGACACAAAAAGGTGATTACAGCACAAATGTTATTGAAACTGAAAACTTAAACATAGTAGTAAGGTTTTCTAATCAAAGCTATTTATTAACAGCAGTGAATAATTAATTATTGTCTTTATTGTAAAAAATATTTTCTTATCATGTCCTTTTCTCATCACATTAAGTGAAATTCTCCAATTCTTTATAACAGAAAACACTATTTTCAATATTACAGCATACCAATATTGAACAGTCAGATACTGGCCTCTAATGGCTATTAAGAAGAACTACTAGAAAATATTATAAATTCCTATTACACACTCAGCTTTTTAAATTAAATACATATTTCATAATACAGATATCTATAATTACTCCAAATAAAAACCTACTCACAATTATGGGTGATTGATCATTTCCACAATTGTGGTATGATATTACATTATAACTGATATTATGTTAAATAACATATTTGAGATAGATATTTATAATTTGGGATATATGAGTATAACTATGTATTATACAGAGAGAGAGTTGAGTTATAATTGTTAGATATTCTTAATTATAACAAAATACTGTGATTTTGTTGCTTTCATTTATATGCTTAATCGGTGCAGAGATGATTGCACAGATACACAACAAAATACATTTAGTAATTGCTGTATGATTTCACTGTAGCAAGAAACTGATCTTCAGAATTACAATTATATATGTACACACAGAGATTGAAAAAGAAAAAAGCAAAAGACAGAATCTGATCTTAATGTTTACTGGTAGGCAGCATATATGCTGCTACCACCTATTTACTGTTTACATTATCAGTACAATTCAGGTTTGAAAACACCAGTTTCCTATTGGGAGGGGAATGTATGGCTACGGTTCATAACCATTTGTTTGAAATTAAGCCCCATTAAACTGAATGAGGCTTATTTCCAAGTAGATATATACACAATTGCCTTAATAGCCTGACACATCCCTAAACTGGAGTTTACATTTCCAAAGCCAGTCATACTAATCATCTTTTCTAGTCAACAGTACAGTCTGACATATTAGGATCCTTGCTTTACTAATCTAAGAAATATAATGAGGATCCTAATATATCAGGCTGTCATAAATAGATTCCAGTAGTAATGTATGGCTGTGAGAGCTGGACCATAAAGAAGGCTGAGCGCCGAAGAACTGATGCCTTTGAACTGT